AGAAAACAATGGTAATAAGCTTTGGTTTTTTCTTTTGTATTCTGGATAGTTTGCTGTAGAGAAGTACTAACTCCTGTTTCGGTGGGTTTTCTCAGTATGGGTAGGGAAGTGCTATACCTACCCAGTACAAAGGTGTCAGTAGAAACCAAGAAATACTTGACTCCTGAGTGTTTTGACATTTGCTTAAAATTAGGCTGCTGGTCCTCCCCAGGTATGTTCCTCCACTGCACAGGCTAAGTCAGGAGATATTTCTAGTAGGTTCCTTAAAAGCACATCTCAGAGTTACCTTTTTTCATTGTCCTAGTCATTCTCCTCCATGAAAGATAGTTTTGACTGATGCTGTCACATCTTTTCCTAAGAGGGAAGCTGCTTGTAATCCTCAAACCATTTTCCACCATGCTTCATGAAGAATAAGTGGTTTCCCACATGTAGAAACCACCCCTAATTTCCTTGTGGAGACCGTGTTTCATTGTCCATTGCTCCTTGCCTGCAGAGTATTCTGGCTTAGTAGAAATGCTCTGGATGGTGGGGGCGGAGCGATAGCACAGCAGGTAGGGAGTTTGCCTTTCATGTGGCTGACCTGGGCTCGATCCCCAGCATCCCATATGGTCCCCTGAGCACTGTCAGAAGTAATTCCTGAGTGCAACGCCAGGAGTAACCCCTGAGCATTGCTGGATGTGACCCAAAAAGGAAAAAAAATGCTCTGGATGGCGTATGAATCCCACAATTAAACAAGAATTAAGAGCAATTTTTCTAGCTATGGCATCTGCTGGACAGCTTCCCTTAGTCACTTCCTCCTTTCCAACGATCCCAGCAGCGCACAGCTTTTCTTTCTTTTGGGGACCTGGACAACTTTTAATAGTTTGACAAGTCTTGAGGATCTCTAGGGGTGAGTCTAGGAGTAGGGCCTAGTACTTGGTCATCCTCCTCCTCTCAGCCATTTGTGGACTGTTTTTTCTAGCACAATTTTTATTATATGGGGAGTTTGGATTTTAGTGACTGCCCTAAAGTACACTTTGTGAACTCCTCTACCATCGGAGCAATGGCTGCCACTGCTCCGAGGCATGTGGACCAACTCTCAGCCACGTTGTCAAACTATACAGATAAGATACAGGTCTGGAAATTTCACCTGAAGTCTGGATTCAGAAACCCAGTGCTCTTTCTGGATTCTCGGCTACCTAGAGAATACACGGATTCTTTAGACTGGATAATGCCAAAATTAGAGATAAGATGAAATTTTTTTTTTTTGTTTTTGGGTCACATCCGGAAATGCTTACTCCTGGTTCATGCACTCAGGAACTACTCCTGGCCATGCTCAGAGGACCATATGGGATGCTGGGATCGAACCAGGGTCGGGCCGCGTGCAAGGCAAATGCCCTACCCGCTGTGCTATCACTCCAGCTCCAAGATGAAATATTTTTTAAGGCTTATAAAAGCCTCTTGGCAAGTTTTAAAACTTCACATCATAAATGTAAAGTAAGTTTAAAGAAACAGTGAAGAGAGAACTGGAATCATTGTTACAAAAAAGGCATGAAACTGAAACATTTTTCTCTTAACCTTCTCACAGTTATTTAAACACAAACACAGCCTGGATAAGAGATGTTAAGTAAATTTTTCTATTTGGTGTATTCTGTTATTTCGTTGAGCGAGTAATGGGGATTGGTGGCTCCCATATAAGAAATTAATATCCGACCTTCCACATCAAGGTTTACCCAGGCATGGCCAATGTCAGATTAGTGCCGTGGTCTTCTAGTCTTCTTTGGGGTCTGGTCTGGCATGCAGGAGTCTGACACATACATAGCCTCTCCAGGTTGGGAGTGATCTGCAATCCCAGGGATTTTCTTGATGCTGAGAACAAAGTCTAGGTGGTGATTATAGATCTGCCCTGTTTTCTTCTCTTCTCATTTTTATGCCGCATCTGGCATAGTTTATGTCTTATTCCACTGTCTTACTCCATGCTCTATGCTCGGGGATCGCTCCTGGAGATCATATGTGGTGATTGAACCTGGTTCTGCCGCGTTCAAGGCAAGCACCTTACCCACTATACTATCTCTCCAGTCTCTCATGTCTTACTTCTGTGGACATTTGTTCAAAACAATCAGTGACAATAATTTTTTCCCAATTGCATAAGGCCATGTTAATAAGCTAAGACAAATAAGAAATGAACCAAAAATCTTAAAAGGAAAAATTAGTCAATGAGCTGTCCACAGGTGGCTTTTTATAAGAATTCCCAGGAGTGTAAAAGAATATTCACATGTGCAGAGCTATGAACATGTGCAGAAAAGACTTGGGAAGTTCCTAAGTGCTCAGCCTCTGTCTGACTTTGAAGCTCTATCTATGTAGGCTGAAAGTGAAGGCAAAGACAGTTGTCAACTGCTTGAGCATGGAAGGACTTTGCCAGCACACACATGGTGTCCCTAAGCAAATGCTGAGAAACCTATTGACTGGAGGCATTTGAGGTCTGTGCAGTCATTAACTGACCACTCATAAGCAGAGACTTCCATGGCCACGCATATCTAAGAGTATAACTTTGCTGCATTCGCTTAGGAAAGACAGTAAATGAATTGCAGCAGCAACAAGCCCTAGAAACAATGGCCAATCCTAGGACAGGGGAATCAGGTTTCCACAAACCCCATATTCCAATTTTCATACAAAAATTCTGAGGCATGCAAATGAAAATAAAGTATGGCCCATCTCCCCAGAAAGCAATCAATAGAAACTATACCTGAAGAAACCCAGATGACTTAACAAAGATTTTAACCCAATTATTTAAATTATGTTCAAAGAACTAGAGGAAACTGTGCCTAAGGAAGTAAAGTGTGAGTATGATATCTTACCTAACAAAGAACATTAATAAAGAAGTAGAAATGACAAGGAACCAAAATAGAACTTTTGATGTTGAAGGAACAGAAAAGTTCACTCAGAGATAGGAGTTAGCTGAAAAAAAAGGATCAGTAAACTTGAAGATCAAATAAAGATCTGCATATCTATATGTGTTTATTCCTTCCCCATCTATATTAATTAAAAGACAACTGAATTAAACAATAATTATGAATCTATGTTGATAGGCACACAATGTATGAAAGTGTAATGTGTTTAACAAGGCTACCACAAGAGGATGTTATAGGGGCAAGTTTTGTATACTACAGTTGATACGTTTTCTAACAATTATTATGAGTCAAAATTTAAAATGTTATGGTTGAAGCTGGAGAAGTAGTACAGCAGGTAGGGCACTTGTCTTGCACACAGCCAACTCGGGTTCAATCTAGGACCACCCCCCCAAACAGTCCCCTGAGCATACCAGGATTGATACTGAGTGCAGAGCCAGAGTGAGCCCTGAGCACTGTCACGGGTGGCTCAAAAACAAAAATGAATTATGGTTTTAGCTAAGAAAATAAAGATGAGGAGGCTGGAGTGATATTAGAGCAGGTAGGGTTGCCTTGCATTTGGTCAACCTGGGTTCGATCCTCAGCTTCCCAGGTGATCCCCTGAGTACCACCAGGAATAATTCCTGAGTGCAGAGCTGGGAGTAACCCCTGAGCATCGCCGAGTGTCATCCAAAAAACCAAAAAAAGTATAAAGAATGGTAAGATAATTAAAACAATACACTAGAAAATATCTACTTAGCATCATAAGAAGGCAAGACAACATAAAATCCAACCTTATCAGTAATTACATTAAATATGAAAGAAATGAATAGCTCAGTCAAAAACAGATATTGGTAGAATGAATACACTCTAGAATCCAACTAATATGTCTATTTACAAAAGATACAGTTTATAGTAGTAACACACATAGTTAAAGAATTCACCATCCTGCTTTTGGCTTTTGACAGAAAATTAATCAGGAAATTAAGGCTTTGCCTGACACACAAACTAGACTTAAGTTAACTAGACCTGCAGAAAAGACATTTTCTGATGCACATGGAGAGTCTTCAGGATAAGAAACAAGTCTCATACATTTACAGTCATTAAAATGACAAAAAAATTGTATCATTTTGCCATCCTTAGTCACAATCAAATTAAATCACAGTTTTAAGTAGAAAATTTGGAAAATTCAAAAATATATGGAAATGAAGAAATACATTCCAAAATACCCTCTAGATCCAAAAATAATCACAAGGAGAGTTAGAACAAAATTGGAATGATGACAGAATAGTCTCTAAGACATATTTGTTCAGAGCAGCTTGTCTATCTGGGGAAGACCCTACCCAGGGTCCAGAGGTCCATGGTCCAGGGGTGGGATCCTGGTCACGGTCCTCCCGTTGTTCATTGATTTGCTCGAGCAGGCCCAGTAATGGCTGCATCGTGAGACTTGTTGTTACTGTGTTTGGCATATTGAATACACCATGGGTAGCTTGCCAGGCTTTGCCATGCGGGTGAGATACTCTCGGTAGCTTGCTGGGCTCTCCGAGAGGGGCAGAGGAATCGAACCCGGCTCAGCCGGGCAGGCTGCATGCAAGGCAAACACCCTACCGCTATGCTATCGTTCCAGCCCACAGGGATAGGAAACTTGCAGAAATGGGCATTATCCACACCCCAATTCAGGACCCGAGTCTAACGGGGGGGGGTATCCTTCTGCCTCACTTCTGGAGATAGTGCAGATTGTCCAATGATGGAGTCTCTGTATTCCAATAAAAAGCCAGGGACTCAATTAGTATCACCGAGGTGTTCATTGGAAACTGATTTCCTCCCTCTCTGTAGACTGATGTCCCCCACCCCTTTGAATGCCCCCATTCATCTGTCAAAGGACAATGGGGTCGAGGCTCCAGTGCCAGGAAGCCCTGTCTAATGTGTGTGTGGGGCGGGGGGAGGCTGGAAGGCACTGAGCTCCTGGGGGACAGGGATCTGATGAGGTGTCTATGACTAGTCTCTACTTCAGCTCTTTTCTCTATGTCTCAAAGATCCTGGCTGCTGTGTGCCTTTGTGACCTATGTTTCTCAGACAAAAGTTGTGGTGTGTATGTGCGATTGTTTGCATATGAGTACTCAGTTTCAGACATGAAGGAACCTCAAGACTTTATTTAGGTAAAAAAAAAATAATACAGTATACCCCACACACCAATAGTCATTTCCAGAATGAATACTACAATGATAGAACATAAAAAGTTACAGCAATCTGTTTACCTAAAAACCCTGAATTAATGGTTAACCTAACTAGCAACCAGCTTATTGTGCAAACCCCTTATTCTATATGTTGGTGAAAGCTAGAAACATGTAAGTATTATTAGTTTAAAAAAATGTGAAAAACTATTGGTTAAAACAACAATGATCAGTATTATCTACATTCCCCTGACTCAGGAGGGGTCTTGGCCAGTGTAGAGGCCCCTCAGGGGGTGAGTTCCAGCTTGGCCTCCCTTCCTTGCCCCCTGCCGCTGCAGGGGTCTCTTCCCCAGGGTGAGTTTATAGTGGAAGATTCCAGGCGTGGCTGGAAGTGGGAGGTGATGAGCACAGGGCATGAGCCAGCTGGGGCTTCGCCTCCTGTAGGGTGTGTGGAGGGACGGGCCCCTTATGGGGTTCCCTGAGATGGGGCAACAACGAGGTGTGAAGGCAAATGGTTCGGCTCTGTTGTGCAGTATGTCCGGGTTTGGACCCTGTGCTGAGTGGTGGTGGGAGGTATTCTGGGGGCCTCTAAAGTCAAGCCATGAGTAGACAGATGGGGGTTGGGGAGTCACCCCCCAGATGGAGAAGAGAAAGGAAAACATGAGTGAGTGATCTGGTAAGGCAGAGAAAGTTCTGGAAACAGCTGCCTCACTTCCCAGGAAAAACTGGAGGGGTGTTGGTGATGAGGAGATCGGGGTCACAGCTCCGAGCCCTCATCCTCAGATCTGTCACACTCGGTCTCTGCTGTCCCCTTCAGCAGGAATTCACAGTTGCTTAAAAAAATCAACCAGCCTTGTCATCATGCTGTGCATGGTGTTGGACGAACTGTCACCATGCAATGCAGCTTTGCTTCCCTGGCAGGCTTGAGGGGACTGAGGGGACCGTGGGGCTATGGTGGGGAACTGCCCATGGGCCCTTCCTGCTCTGGGCAGGCTAGGATGCGGCTGGTGGGAGGCTTGGGGTGTGTATGAGAAGGTGAAGCAATACAGAGATGGGTGATGGGTGGTTCATTCCCCCTGGGTCTGAGCTGCAGTTCCTGCCCCAGGTCATGCCACCGGGACCTTCCCCTCCAGCAGGATAGGCCATGGACATTTGGATAGTGGTCAGTGAGCTGCTCTGAGAAGCCAGAGGAAGCCTTTAAGTTAGACATGGGGTTAGGTGGCAGTCCATGCTGAGACAGATCTCTAGCTTGGCTTGTCCAGTAGTGAGGGTCCACATCCCTGAAATGGGTTCCAGGACCCTTTGAGAAACTTGCATTGGCTCCCCACGCTGGTGAGGTCACTGAGACCCACGAGGAAGGGGTGCCGGATTTGACTGGGATTTCAGTGCTCTACCCTGCCAGGGTTCATCACGTGGTGTCCGACCAGCCTGAACCGCTGTGGTTCGGGTGTCCGGGCCTGGAGGCGGGCAGCCCCCCCTTAAAACCCCAGCTCCTCCCGGGTGTCTGAGCCGTAGAGCTCAGCCAGCATCTTGAAGCGGGGGCCCCAGTCGTTGAGGAAGTCGTAATCAATGTCCGAGTCGGATGAGTCGGTGCCCAGCGAGCTGAGCGACTCTGCAATGGACTCGGAGCCCTCGTAGCCGTAGATGTGCAGCGTGTCGTAGGGCGGGCCCCCGCCGTCGTGGTCCGCCTCGTCCTTCTTCACCTCGATCATCGCGGCCATCTCCCCGGGAACGTGCCTCGGTGGCTTCTGCACCTGGGCGTACAGCGCCGCCCGGGGGGGCTTGGCTGCCCCCACGGCCCCGCCACCCCCGTTGTGACGCACCGAGGTGAGCACCGACACGTCGTAGCTGTTGGTGTCCATCTCGCCACCGCCCTCCTCGTCGTAGGTGACCAGCTGCTCGTGGATCTCGGGCACGCCCTTGCCGTGCGCGCGGGCCTGCTTCCGGAGCCGGCGGCGCAGGAAGATGAGGAGGGTGATCACTGCAGGGGTGCAGGGGTGTCAGAGCTAGTCACAAACGGTTCTGCAGAGGACTGGGGTTCCCCCACCCTTAGATGCTCTGGGAATTCCCACGGCCAGAAGGTGTGATTTGGTCCAGACACCTGATTGGCCCGTCCTGACCCTACCCCACCGTGAGGACCACGTGACCCCAGGCTGTGGCTCTGATTGGCTGGCACTGTTGGCGTGGCAAAGTGAGGGAACCGGAGTGGGACTCCCTCGAGTTCTTTTCCTTCTCCCTGTCTCAGTCCACCTGCGTGCATCTTCATTTCCTGCTTTTTCATACCACAGCGGCAGGCCCACGGGCACACCCACAGGCCAGGAGGCCAGCGGTTGGGGCAGAAATAGGCAAGAGAAAACTGGAGAGAGAACTCCAAGGGTCCGCAGAGCATGCTTTGCACTCAGGAGATCAGAATTTGATCCCAGCACCGCCTGGTCCTTACCCTCCACAGAGCCAGGAGTGACCCCAGAACCAAGCCGGGAATAGACCCTGGGCATCTAAACCAATTTAACAACAAGACATAAATAGAGGGGCCGGAGCGATAGTACAGCGGGTAGGGTGTTTGGTCGACCCGGGTTCTATTCCCAGCATCCCATATGGTCCCCTGAGTGCAAAGTCAGGAGTAACCCCTGTGCATCGCCAGGTGTGACCCAAAAAGAAAAAAAAAGTAATGGATAGTTACCAATTCAGCTTCATGTACTGAATGTACTGAGCCGTTTCTATATTTTGTGTAGTATAGGGCCTGTTACATTGGAAGTACTCAAGACTTTTGGTGTGTAAGCTTGTTTAATTTAAAAACTCCTAAAGCTGTTAGAAATGTTAAAAATAAAAATACATGTGAAGTAACTGGACAAAGGCTAGAACCATGGATGCCCAAGATTGGAGCGGTGGTGACAGTGGTAATAATGGTGATGACAACGATTGAGTTTTGCATTTAAAAAAATCAGACAGCTGCTCTTATTTGGGTAAGATGGTTTTAAGGTTCATGCATATTTTGGTGTGGTGGTGATGCCATTGTGGTTCCAAGGAGAATCTGGGTCTATTCTCTGCTTACAGAAGCCCCAGAAGGGCAGGGGCCAGGTGGGCAGCCCCTGGCAGGAAATGCCTGGAGCAGTCAATGTGTCCTGTTCCTGGGTCTGGCTCCTATAGCACCCAGGTGCTCTCTGAATATGGGGCTTCCTCTGGAGGGCAGCTTGGCCAGGTGAAGTGCAGGAGTCCTGATGCCTCTTGGGGGGGACCCTAACTGTGAGGTGATGTGAGTTGGTCCTAAACACTGCCTCCCTACCCTGAGAGCAAGGCATTCCAGAGATCCTCAAGTGGGGCCTCGTGTGACAATGTGCCCTTCATCCACATCCTCTCTTCCTGTCTCACTCCCTCTTTTCCTGCTGTGGTTTCCCAGGACAAGCTCCCAGATAGACCACTTGTACCCCACTCCTTATCTCAGTCCCTCCTTTCTGAGGAACCCAGATGAAGGCAGTTCTAAAAGGCCCCTAAGTCTGCTATGACCTCAACAAAAACTTTCCACGCTGAAGAAACCCTTGAAGGGGAAAGAAAACCCTTGGAGAGGAGTTCAGCTCCTAAGTTCTAGAATTTCCTATTTTGTTTGTAAAAGAAGATCTGGATTCTTTTTCTTTTCAAAGTGAGTTTTAGATAAACAAAGGCCCAGAACAGTGCTATAGGGCAATATTTTTTTTTTCGGTCGAAAAGGATAAAATCAAAATTAAAAAAAAAAGAAAATTAAAAGTGGGTCTGTAGCACTGTCCTCCCATTGTTCATCGATTTGCTCGAGCAGACCCAGTAACATCTCCATTGTGACACTTGTTACTGTGTTTGGCATATTGAATATGTCACGGGGAGCTTTCCAGGCTTTATTGTGCAGGCAAGATACTCTCAGTAGCTTGCTGGCCTCTCCGAGAGGGGCAGAGGAATCGAACTTGGGTCGGCCAGGTTGGCCTTGTGCAAATGCTCTACCCACTGTGCTAGTGCTCCAGCCCCAAAGTGGGTCATTAGGAGTCAAAGGCCCAATGCTGAGTGTAAATTATTAACAATTCTGCTTTAATTCTCTTCATATTTCCCTGCAAGTAAAGAGAATGGATTAAGGGGACTTCTCTGTCTTATTCTATGTAATGGGAACAGCTGGTATACTTCTCAGGTCTACATGGAATGTTCCATAATAGACCTAGTTTTAACATTAAAACCAGATCTTATGTCAAAATTTTCTTTACATCACGTTTGCCTTGTATGTGGCCGACCTGGCTGACACAGGTTTGATTCCTCTGCCCCTCTTGGAGAGCCTGGCAAGCTACTGAGAGTATCTCGCCCGCACGCCAGAGCCTGCCAAGCTCCCCATGATGTATTCGATATGCCAAACACAGTAACAAGTCTCACACTGGAGACATTACTGGGCCCAGTCGAGCAAATCAATGAACAATGGGAGGACAGTGACAGTGACACCTACTCCACTATCAAATAGCTATCTTCCCCCAACAATGTTCAAGAAACTTATTAGGAATCAAGGAACTATTTCTTTTGGGGGAGAGGAGTTGGATTGTTATTCTGCCTCCAGCTTCTCACATTGCGTACCCCACTTGGTAAAGATGATGTGCAGAACAAGCTGTTGTATCAAAGTGGCTAAACCCTTCATAATGAAGCTCTTCCAGACACTTGAGAATCACTGACCACTCAACTCAGTAAACATTTCATCCTGAAGGGTGTGCAGCATGGCTGTGCTCATGGGGAGGGCAAACAAAAGTGCTGTCATTTCCTAGCACAGACGTGATTAGTTGTCTAGCTTCCTGTCTCATACTTCTAGTAAAATTTCTTGTTGTGTTGTCTACTGAGTTAAAAGAATTATAATCATTCATTTTTGGGGTGGGATAGGGATCACAAATAGTACGTGGGAGGCTCAGGGACCCCACTGGTGATTTTTTTGGTCATAATGACGATGCACAGGGGTTACTTTTGGCTTTGTGCGCAGGAATCACTCCTGGTAGGTTCAGGGGACTGTCGGATGCTAAGGATCAACACAAGTCAGCCTTGTGCAAGTGCCCTACCCACTATACTATCACTCTGGCCCCACCATTGGTTATTCTTGCAGCTTGGCCAGTGAATTATTGCAAGGGTTGGAGGAGGCGATGCTGTTTGGGCCCTGTGGTGCTGGAGATTCTCCAGATTGCCCCAGTGGTTCTCAGGGGCTTCCGGGTCTGTACCAACTGAGACTCAGAGGACCTTGTGATTGAACCTGGGTCAGTGAATGCTTGGCATGAACCCTAATGTTACACTATATCCTGACCCCCACCCCATATTTTAGGACCAATATTCCTGCTTTTCTCCGTGTAGAGCATTATGAAGACTGGAACACTGGAACACTGTCCTCCCGTTGTTCATCGATTTGCTCGAGCGGGCCCAGTAACATTTCCATTTTGAGACTTGTTGTTACTGTGTTTGGCATATGGGCGAGATACTCTCAGTAGCTTGCCAGGCTCTCCGAGAGGGGCAGAGGAATTGAACCAGGTTCGGCCGGGCTGGCTGCACACAAGACAAACACCCTGCCGCTGTGCTATCAAAATGGGAGCACTGTGTCATAGAAACCAAATGTGAAATTCACCACAAGCATTCAGCCAGTTATTTTATCTCTCACTTGTTTTCTTTTGTGTGTGTGGGGGGAGGGGGAACACCCAGTGGTGCTCAGGGGTTACTCCTGGCTCTGCACTCAGGGATCACTCCTGGCACTACTCAGGGGACTATATGGGATGCTGGGGATCAAACTCGGGTCAGCTGTGTGCAAAGCAAGCAGTATCTCTCTGGACCTCTTGTTTGTTTTCTTTTGGGCAATTCCCAATGGCGCTCAGAGCTATGGGATGGGGAAGGGATGTTTCTCCTGGCAGTGTTGGGCTGTTGGGGGATCCTTAGGTACCAGAGATCAAATCTGGGCATCCTACCCAGTTAAAAATTTAACTCCAGCTGTATCACCCTATTAAAAATTTTGGACTTCCTGGAGCAGACACCTCAAACTCTACAACAAACTCTGCAACACTGATAAACTAGTAGTAGAACACTAGATTGAATGGGATATAATGTAGAAGGCAATCAATCTTGATTAACACAATAGAAACAGAGAAGGCTTAACCTGTATCAACATCTTAGTAATCTCTTATACAAGGACTTAATGGCTTCAAGGTGAGATAAAACAGTTCTCACTAACTTCTTCTAAGGAAACATTTTTTGACCATTATTTTAGCCAATTATTGATAACAAGCAATATTAAATAAATTTTTGAGGGCTTGCTGTGGGGACAGGCATAAGAGATGGTTAGGAAAGTTTGAGACAGTGGTGGAGGGAAGGTGTAATAGAAGGGTGATTGGTGTTGGGATACTGAATGCCTGTAACAAATTATCATGAACAACTTTGTAGACCACAGTGTTTATATGAAGTAAAAGGTGGAAACTTGGAATATATAAATAAAAAAATGGGAAAAAATATATGAGCATCCTGAATGCAAAGCTTTGGTGCCAGCCCTTTGCTCCATCTCCCTGGCCCTAGATATTTCTGGTAAAGATGCAGGTGGCAGAGAAGTTAGGGAAAATTTACCAGATATGGGGCCTGGCCACAGTAAGTGCTAAAAATATGTAAGTTCAATGAGATAGTATCACATATAAAGTATTTTAAGGTGAGAGAGGGGTCTTAAATCCTGTCCCCGGTCCCCCTCCCCCCCCATTATCCCCATCCTTCCAGGTCCCCAATGAGCCACACCTCTCACCTCTTTGTCTAAGAATGGGACCCTGAGGCCATTGGGCTGCTGGATCCCCCGACCACCACCCCTAGTGTCCCCACTGACCTGTGATGGTGAGGATGCAGAGGAAGATGGCCACCAGTGCCTGGATGCTGACGCCCACCTGGGCCGCCGGCCCTTCGCAGAAGGTGAACTCGCCGTACTCATTGCACTTGCACACAGCCACAGCCAGCGTGCTGGTGCCTGTGAGGCTCGGTCGCCCGTTGTCTGAGATGACCACGGGCAGCAAGTGGACCTTGGTTCGCTCGCGGTCAAACTGCCCATACTTGACGGTGATATTGGCTGTGTTATCTGCAAACACCCAAGCCTCAGTGTTAGGTTCTGCTGCTGCTCTGAGTCCCCACGTCCTAGTTCATCTTAGTTGGGTGGCCTGCCTCCTCCAGGGAGCCTTCCTGGACTGTGCCAGTCCATGTGGAGCTTTTCTGGCCTTTGTAGCCCCAGGCAGGGTCATTTTGACAGGAGGTGTGTGGCTCCAGAAAAGGGATATTTTGGGTGGTGGCTCTCATCTAGCCTCTGAGAATGACTAGACAAGAATGTCAAGTCCTTGCCAGAAACCCTTTCTTCCTTTATAATTCCACTCCAATGACAGGAATGCATGGTTTCAAGTTTCCAGCAGCAAGCAGGGGAGAAAAATTACATTTTCAAACTCCTTGAGCATTGGACTAACTTCTGAGACTGTATCTGCCATCTCTGAAAGTTTGGCCTATTATAAACACCATGTCCACCTCCGCTGGGTGGATGCAGAGGAAATGATGACATGTCATCGAGAATTTCCTGGGCAGTTTGGAACCGGGGCTAAGCTTCTGCCCAAATACGGGCTCTCACTCCCAGCTCCGATTTGCAATTTGAACTTTCTAAACATACTCATACTCAGGTTCCCCCCAGACCCCCTAGGAAACCTTGATGCTGATGGCCAGTGACTTCCTGCTTCAGTATTCATCAGCCCTGCAATACTGGTCAGCCCCCTGGGAAACCAGCAGAGAAGTAGAAAGCAAAGGAAGCACTTTTTAACTTTATTTTTGGGCCACACCCAGTGGTGTTCAGGGTTACTCCTGGCAGTGCACAGGGGACCCTGTGGGATACTGGGGATAGAAATGGGTTGGCCGCGTGCTAGGCAAGTGCCCTACCTACTATACTATCATTCCCGCTCCCCCATTAGAGGCTCTTCAAGGACAATCTGGGGCTGATATCTGGGTTTCTGCCCCTTTGCATTGTCCCAGGATCCCACTCTCACTCCCAAACCTTCCTGTTTCAGCACAGGGATTATCTTTCCCCTCCGATTTGATAATCAGGGACAGGCACGGATTCCCCCACAAACAGGTGAAGGATTGTTCTACGTAGACCAATAATACTCTTACTTCCCTGAGAAAGTCTGTCTGCTATTGGCTGAATTCAAACAAGACGACATCCTCTCTTCTTATAGCAACATACTCATCTGAAGCTCTGATTGGCCACAGCTGAAATGACGGGACTTTCTGGGCTGTGATTGGTGGAGTGGATCTCGTCCCAGGACTGCCTGGGACTCAAGAAGTCTGTGCAGCCAAGTTAAGCTGTTGTGTGCTGGGAACTCTGAATTTTGCATTTCCAGTTTTGGTTCTTTGGGAGTGACTTAAAGTGCCAGGACACGGGATCATCTGTGCTGAGCAGAGATCAGGAGTGGGAAGGTGCCCTTTGTGAAGTTGTGTAGGCAGCTGACTGTACTCTCCAATGACCCAAGCATCTCTCCTCCCTGACCCGAGCATCTTGGGGTGATTGGCAGGCAGTGGGGATCTGGCAGTTTGGTCAGGGGCTCTGGTTTATGAGTTTGACTGGAAAATCCTAGGGACAAGCAGCCCCCATTTCATTGCCCTCCCCTTCACACCCCCCCACCCCGCCCCCCGGCCACACCACAAGAGCCAGGCTGACTGATGGATAATCCTCACCGCGGTTATCTGTGAGGGTGAAGTTGCTGTCCTCAGTGCTCAGGGAGAACCGGAACTTCACATCCCGTGGGGTAATGTCTTTATCGATAGCTGAGATCCGCACCACCAGCTGGAGTGTGGAAGATTGGCAATGGTCAGTAGCAGAAACCCGGACTCCACGACCTGACCCTGGCGGCTTTTCACCTACAGCATTAACTTAAACGATCCTCCCAAAGCCCCTCTTCCTACCATCCCCTTCCTTGCCAATTGACATGCCCCATGGTTTTTCTGACCCTCAGTTTCTCCATCTGTAAAATGGGGAGAATGGTTCTTCCTCAGAATGTCGTGCAGGATACCTGAAGCGAAGTGGACCTCCAGCTGTGGTCAGGAGATGCTGATCTTCAGATGCTGACTCTGGGATGTGTGGTACTGCCTTGCCCTTTCCCCTGACCCAGACTCACCTTGCCTCTCTCGGAGTTCTCGCACACTTTGGGCTCATAGGGCTGGGCAAACTCAGGGGCATTGTCGTTCTCATCCAAAACTTCAATATGGACCTGCACAATGGATTCTTTGCCTGTGGGGGTCCCTGTAGGGGGAAAGGTTGGTCACCACCTGAGCAGAAGGTAGGGGCATAGGGCTGGGAGGGTCCTTTGGATAGGGGATTCTGCACCTCTGGGGATGGGTGAAAGGAGGGGAAGAGAAAAGAGATAAAACTTCATGCACAAGAATGTTTACTAAAGAACTATTTGCCAGAATCAAAAAAGTAAACAGCCTAAGCGAATCAGAAGTTTAAATTAATTTAATCCAGCATTTTGATTACTGAATAATTTAGTAACTTTTAAGTAATTACTTTTAAATAGATACAATATTCAACTAATTGAAAAGCAATTTTAAGGAAAAACAACCTAAGGAAAATTGGGATTAATAAATTATGCCACTTTAGAAAAAGACATGATGTGGCCATTTAGAGTGTGCCTTTGTAAATTTGAGGAGGTTATTTTTGTTCATTTGTTTGCTTTTTGTGGCAGGAGTACACCTGCTGGTGTTTTGGGGTACTTAGGCATGGTGCTCAAGAAATCATGGTGTCAGGACTGGATGGGGCCTCCCACATGCAAAGCCCACTGACCTGTCTCCTGCCCTATACTAAAATTTTAACACAGTTTAAAAAAGACACTTTGGCACAACAAAAATGATTCTGGAATTAGGATAAATAAAAATGCTGAATATGACTTTGACATAAATATTATGATCTCACGTGTATAAAATATGTATTAAAAAAGACTGAGCTCTGCCAGGAGTGATAGCTGATTGCAGAGTCCTTAGTACCACCAGATGTGGCCCGCACTCCCTAAAAAATATTAAATTAAAAAATGAAGTGCTAATAGTAATTATCTCTGTACAGTGGGGTTATAGGGGTATGGTTTTCTTTTCCTTTGCTGTGTTTTTCATTTTGTATTGTAATTTATTTTTATACTTTAAGGGCTCCCAAACAATGCTTAAGGAGCCTGGAGGCCACTCCCAGTGACACTCAGCCAACTGGGGCTACTAAAGGCTTCTGCCAAAGCTGCACATGCCTGGTGTGCTTTGGACCCTGTATCACCAGGGGGTGGCTAGACCCACAGCCTCTGTCACCTCAGACCTTATTAGGGGAGTAGAATTTTGGCTCCCACCTCCAGACAGAGACACCCCCAGTGTCAGGCTCTGCACCTGAGAGAGAAGGAGACAAGCCATGACCCTGGCCCTTGGGCTACTCACCACGGGAATCCAGTTCTTTGGCCTCCACAGTCAGGTTGTACCAAGGGTACATTTCTCTGTCCAGTTCTTTCTCATTGTAAATGTTCCCTTGCTTGCTTATTCGGAAGAACTGGCCCTTGTCACTGTTCTTGCGGATGGAGTATCTGTCCAGAGGGGAGAGAGATTGGTGGTTTCCATGGTGCTTACAGGTATTAAGTCGCCTCACCAGGACACGGTGAGGCCCATGAATCTTGGTCCTTGCCTCACCCCCTGACCCTGAGCTGTTATCCAGATGGGTGCAGAGACAGCCCCTTTGGGAAGAGGTAAGAAGTGACGGAGAGGAAATTCATTTTGTGACCAAATAATCTGGAAAGGTTTTCCAGAAATCAAGTAAAAGAATATAAAGAGCTGAGAAGAAAAAATAAACATAGTATCATATGATATTTTTAGTAATAGTAAACATTAAAACATTTAACAAATTAAACATTTAAAAATGTGTTCTGCAATGTAGACATTTACTTCTACAGAGGAAAACTACAAAACAAAGAGATCAGAAGACATAGCAAAAGATGTAATGAAGGAAAACTTCCCTGATCTGAAAGAAGCCTATAACTGCAGATCAAAAGATGTCATTGATTGAAGGCATATTTTATCTCTATTTATTTATTTATTTATTTATTTATTTTGGGGGCCAGACCTGGCAGTGCTCTGGGCTTATTGGTGTGACTTGGGGTCCCATACAAGGAGCCTTGAGACAAACAGAATCCAGGTTGTGTGCAAGGCAAACACCCTACCTACAGTCTTATCGCTTAGCCCTCAATATCAGGCATTAAAGAATCATCCGGATTCTGCGCCAGGTTGTTTTCACTCGGTGCACCCCAGAGTGGGATGGGTGAGAGCCCTCCCTGTCCCAAGGGACTCAGCCTTGGTAGCTGACCTCCACTACCCAACCACCGCCAAGCTCCAGGCCACTTTCCACTTTCATAAGATACTTTCTACCCATTTTCCATAATTACCACACCATATTTGATGGGGTTCAGACAGTAGGCAACAAATCATAGAAATATAAATATATGCCTCTCGGAGAGCCCGGCAAGCTACCGAGAGTATCCCACCTGCACGGCAGAGCCTGGCAAGCTCCCCATGGCATATTCGATACGTCAAAACCAGTAATGATAACAGGTCTCATTCCCCTGACCCTGAAAGTGCCTCCAGTCATTGGGGAAAGATGAGTAAGAAGAGTCTACTAAAAATCTCAGGTCTGGGAGGAATAAAGACGTTACTGGCACCCACCACAGTAAATCGACGAACAATGGGATGACAGTGATACGGTGAAAAAAATAATATTTATGAATATGCAATATTTTGAATTTTGGGTCTAGACAAAGAAGCTGAAAGGAGCTGTCAGAAAAGTAATTCTGGAGTGCTCAGAGAGGACAGCTGTTAAGTTGCACTGTTGCCAGGGTACTTGCCTTGCACACGGCCAACCCCATGTGGTCAGATGGCCCCTGGAGTTAGTCCTATGCACCACCAGGTGTGGCCCCAAAACAAAGAAAATAGGGTCCAGAGATAGAGTACAACAGGTAAGGAGCTTGCCATGTAGCTGACTCGGTTCAATCCTCAGCATCCCTGCTGGTCCCCTGAGCACCACCAGGAGTAATTCCTGAGTGCAGAGCTAGGAGTAACCCCTGAGCATTGCTGGATATGGCCCCCAAACCAACCAAGCAAACAAAGTGCCTGTAAAGCTGTTCCTCTGAAGGCCAAGAGAATGACCGAGGAGGATGAGGACAAGGAGAAGGAGCCCGTCCTGGAAACACCCGGGAAACAGAAGAGGAAGAGGGTCAAAGCACAGAGTGGACGGAAGAAGACCAATTCCCACGCGCAGGCAATCCAGATTCCCAAGCCCCGGTCTCAGACCAGCAGGACCACTCTGTCCACCGGTCTAGTACTGACCACCCGGTCCTCTGCCCCCTGGCCCTTTCCCGCTTACCCAATGTTCAGCTGCGCAGCATCGGGGTCTACGGCCAGCACAGAGCCCACCAGAGGCTTCTTCTTGTTCTCCGGAAGCTGAAAGTGGTAGAAGGGCTGCTGGAAGACGGGGGGCTCGTCCACGTCGGTGACGCTGATGATGACGCGGGCGATGTTTTTGGTGGGGTTGCTGCTGAGGTAGCGGAGGTTGATGGTGGGGTCCGTGGCCTCGATGGTGAAGCTGTACTGTCGGATGCGCTCATAGTCCAGGGGCTGTGGCAGGGGGGAAACGAGGCGAAGGGCACCCGAGGTGAGGCCGGGCCTGCACTGCCCCCTGCAGGCCAGGACTGGGAGAACACCTGCGCTCAGGTGAGCCATTCGCGACCCAGAGAAACCGATTTCCAAGGTCAAAAAGGAGAAAAGCACTGGGCATGGCTGCCCATCTCTGTGAACATTCAGGGCTGCCCACCTATCCCTGGCTCTGCATCTGGCTCTGTCCCAAGTATTTGGGGACACATAATGGCTTTGTCACAGTCCTACTCTCGGGGTATCCTAGACTAGTGGTCCTATCTGCCACTCTAGAGGATGAGGTTTTTCCTCCAGCCTTCGTTCTGATGCTGCCCCCATCTTGCCCACATAGTACCTTGCCCCTTACGCTGTTCGGGCAGCAGCACCACATGCACCCTCTTCCCTGGCACTGTGACAAATGTCTTGGTTCCCCTGGACACTGGGGAGAGGGACCTGAAGGGAGGTCAGGCTGGGCACAGGATTCTGGGGTATTCTGTCCAGGATTCCCAGTGCACTTGCAGAAGCTGCCACCCCCTGATTCAAGGGGCAGAAGCTGCTGGCACCCCACATTCTTGGGACTCTCTCTCCTTACCTGCCTCTAACAGTTCCATCCTACAGCCTCAGTGCTGTGTCTCTGAGCCTCAATCCTCACTGGCCCTGAGGTTGTCCCACTCTGCACTGTCTTCCTGCTCACTCAGGACCCTTTCCTCCCCTCTCTGCTCCTCAGATTCTTGGGGTCACCTCCCCAAGGATCTCCTTACTCCCTAACTCTTGCCTCTGCATTTGCCCAGGGATCCCCTTGTCGAAGGTCCTCTGCTTTTCTTCCCTGGCTCCCCTTTCCCATCTCCAGGACCCCCAGCTCCATCACTGTCTCAGCACCCTCAGAACATGCATCTCTAATGGGCTGTCACCCAGGACCTGCCCCCCGGGTATAACCGGGGTGTTGGAGCCCCAGCACCCTGTCTGGGGCCTTCCCCGCTAACCCCCACACCTTCATGGGCTTGATGATGCCCTCGTTGCGGCTGGAGTCTGTCTCGATGGTGAAGGTGTCCCTGTACTCGCCCTGCACGATGCTATACTTGGTCATCCGGTTCTGGGGTTCGTCGGGGTCCTCCACGAACAGGGAGCCTAGGGAGCTGCCCACACGGATGTCTTCGGGCACGGTGAAGGTGTACTTGCCTGATGCCAGGGTGGGGGGGACCCAAGAACAGGGGTTAGTAAGACAGACCAGGCCTATGTCTCCTATGATCCGAATACACTCGGGAACAGGAAATAATAGTGATAGAGTGATATTGTCTGGAATTTGGGGTCCCATGGCAAAGAGGCTCTGTTCTTTCTGTCCCCCAGCTCTCTAGCTGGGCACTTCCTGTAAATCAGGCATTCTTTGAAGTGGGGAGCATGTCCAGCAGTGCTCAGGGGACCAGGCAGAGCCAGAGATGGACCCTGGGGTCCCACTGCCAAGCATGCACCCCAGTCCTTTGAGCCGTCATTCCTGTCCTGCCAGGCACCTTGGCACAGTGGGTTCCAGGAATGACATGTGCAGCCTCCAGAAGCTAGCAGCCCACCCCACAGGGAAAGTGGGTGCAGAAACCCAACACTGGTGGTGCCACCCCCAATGTTGTCAGACATCCATAGGGTGAGGGTGGGGTGCCTGGAGCTTTGCTATGCCCCACCCTCGCTCAGGGGTACTCTCCTGAGTCCGTGGAACTTTGGGGTACGTGGAGATGCACCCTCTCTGGTCATGGGGGCACACAGCAGGGAGTGCTGCTTCCCCGGGCCTGGAGGGGACACGATGGGGGTACAGGTAGGTGACCTCAAGAATGTTAAAGGGAGAGGACAGCTCCCCTCCCCACACCCAGTGCCCCCAGACCCCCATGACCCGTGGGGAGCTTACTCTGGGTGAAGATGGGGAAGTTGTCATTGATGTCCTTCAATGTGATCACCACGGTGGCCGTGCCCGACTCCCCCCGGAGACCGTGGGCATCCCGGGCTTCCACCACCACCTCGTATCGGGCCTTCTCCTCTCGGTCCAAGTTTTTGGTGGTCGTGAAAATGAGTCCTGCAAAAGGAGCCCATCAGGGGTTGAGTCTTAGGAAACTCAGCCCAGTTGAGCCCTGACACACCAACTTAAAGCTGCCCCAGGATCCTGATGTAGAGGGGCTGGGGCCAGCCCTAAGAGCTGGGGCCAGGAAAAGTCTCCGGTGCCTTGTTCTGGGGAGGAGCTGGAGCGCTGCTGGGCTCAGAGTGGCCAGGGCTGGGGACCTGAGGACACCTGCCTTGGTGCATCCTGGGGTGCAGCTGGGTCTACTGAGTGCCTCCCAGTCTGGAGGACAATGTGCCCTGCTCTGACCAGCTAGAATCGCCTGTTGGCTCCTGAGATGCAGCTCTTAGTGTTTCGTCAGTTATTTTCCACAGGGGCTGTGCAGAGTGGTGCTCCTGTCAGAGGAATCCCAGGGTCACTGCCACCAGCATGCATGGCGGCTCTGATGGTTTCATGCTCAGGCCAGACAGTGCTCAGGAGTCCTTAGGTCTACACCTGCTTGTGCGCAGTGGCGGGGAGTGGGGGAAAGGCAGATGGTGCCAATATGTTGAGCTCAGGGCCCCTTGCATTTGCCCTACCATTGTCTCTGGCCCCTATGCAGGTTTTAAAGTCTCATCAAAGGATCCCTGCCATGGGCCTGCTCCCTCGAGACCTGTGCTAATTCAGACATCACAGCTCATACCAGGCCCATGGGGCCTGGGCGTTACTCCCAGCACTGTACTCAGGGGCTGCTCCTGCAATGCTTATAGGATCATATGTGGTGCTAGGCACCAATCTGGGTCAGCCATGTGCTTGGTGAGGGCCCCACAGACAGCCTGTGCTGTCTCTGGGGCCCTCTGCCTCCCCGGTCTCAGGCTGAGGCTGGTTGGCATTGGCCAGGATCTCCAGAGGGTGCGGGTGCAGAGCTGGACCAGGAACCCTCCCTGCCTGCGCCCCTTCCTTGACATGCCGGCTGCATTCTTCCTTTCCCGTTGGGGTTCTGATGCTGTTCCCTCAAGGTCTTAGTTCCTCTGTCATCTGCAGCCACTTGTGTGGGATGGCCACCAGCCCAGGGCACTGTGATTCAGGGTGAGGTCGCCTATCTTTGGCCCCTGCCCTGGGAATGTCCCCTTCCTTCCAGCCCAGGTGGCCATGGAGCCGTGTCACATACCGCTGTTGTCGATGGCAAAGTATTCTTCTCCTTTGAGAACCTGGTACATGACGGACGCATGATCCCCCACCGTGGGATCATCGGCGTCCGTTGCGGTCACACGGATCACTGAGGTCCCTGTGGAGAAGCCAGGGGTGCTGCCATGTGAAGCCCAGCCCCTGTCCCAGTCCCACCCCAGGGCAGATGGGGGTCTGGGCAGAGACCTTTCTCAAGAGCGTGTGTGTGTGTGTGTGTGTGTATGTAGGGGTCTCTATGAGGAGTGGGGAGCACAGGCAAGGCCGAGAGGCAAGGCTGCTGTTCCTCCCTTGCAGGGGAGGTTGGAGTCAAAGGGGCCCCTGGAGCTTGGGTCTAGCTCTTCCCTATTTGCTCCAGGTCCCCCTTTCTCAGCAGGAAGCTCTGGTCCCAGGGAGCCTGGGAGGAGAGGCAAGGGAGGAACTGATCTGGCACCTTCTGGATGGTAGGAGAGAATCAAAGGAGACTGAGGTCTGGCTGGTGGCACTTGTGGGTGATGGCCTGGCCCCTCTCCTGCTCCGACCCTAGTCAGGACGTTCCTCACCCTGGCGGCAAAGCGGGCATGCTGGCTGCATACTCCATGCTTGGGGGCCCGTCCCGAGAGCCAGAGCTGGGGAGGGTTCCATCCAAGTTATTTTCAATAGGGGCCACACACGCCAGTGTGTGTGAAAGAAGAACCAGAGAAGAGTCTCTACTGGGTCTCCACTGTGCTGGCTCCCTGGGAGGTCAGGAGTCAGGCCCCCTCAGCCTTTGTCCAGGGTTGGGGTCAGTCCGGCTCTAAGGTCTGTGACTCAGGCTGAGCTCAGGCTGGGATTCTCTCAGAGCCGAGATGCAAAATTTCTTTTTTAATTTTTGAGCTTTTTGAGTCATGTCCAGTGATGCTCAGGAGTTACTTCTGGCTCTGCATTCAGGAATTACTCCTGGTGGTGCAGGAAGGACCATATGGGATGCTGGGATCGAACCCAGGTTGGCTGCATGCAAGGCAAATGCCCTAACCCATGCTCCAGAGACCAGAGTCTCTAACAAACCATCTAAAGTGACAGGAAGAGGGGCTGGAGCAATAGCACAGCGGGTAGGGTGTTTGCCTTGCACGCGGCCAACCCAGTTTCGATTCCCAGCATCCCATATGGTCCCCTGAGCACCGCCAGGAGTAATTCCTGAGTGCAGAGCCAGGAGTAACCCCTGTGCAACACCAGGTGTGACCCAAAAAGCAAAAAAAAAGATAAAGTGACAGGAAAGGCCTTAGGAGTCTTTCCCCCAATTCTCAATTCTGGCCCCAGCAGAGAAGTTGTGGGTGGGTGGGTGGGGTGCCTCACGACTGAGGCTGCTTGGGGGCACGCACCCACAGCTGACATCTCGGGCACCGAGGCATTGAACACTTGGCGTGTGAACACTGGCCAGTTGTCGTTGATGTCGTGAACCTTGATGGTGAAACTGGAGGGTGACTCTAGGTTCTTGTTGGTGTCCTTGTCCACTATCAGGGCGGTGAGGTGGTACTCAGACACTTTCTCTCGGTCCAACCTCTCAAAGGCATACACGTCGCCTGTGTTCGCATCCACCTTGAAGACCTTGTCAGCGGCCTCACCCCTGAGCACATACTTGGCATTCTTGCGATTCACACTTGACTTGATCTAAGAGAGGAGAGACCAGGAGGGCTTTGTGTGGGACACACGTCTGCACACACATGCATATGTATGCTCATGTGTGTGCATATATGTGTATTCCTCTGCATGCATGTCGGGTACAGGCCAGCTATCCTAAATATGACATTGTGGGTTTTTTTGTTGTTGTTTCTTTGTGCTTCTTTTTTTTGGGCCACACCCTGAGGTGCTCAAGGGTTGCTTCTGATTCTGCACTCAGCGATTACTCCTGGTGTGCTTGGGAGGGACCATATAGAATGCTGGGGATTGAACTCAGGTCGGTCACGTGCAAGGCAAACGCCCTTAGTGCTGTATTATTGCTCCATCCCTGATGTGATTTTATTTTTATTTTTTGCCTCACAAGCTATTTTCAGAGGATCTGGGGGTCACTTAGGACAGCTCGAGGTTGATCCCTGTTTCAATATGAGCTGCTCGGACCCTGCCTGATGGAGAGCACCAGGCCTGCACCCAGCAGTGTTCAGACTATTGTGGAGTGCGGGGTTTGAGCACAGTGTGCAGCTCTTTCTCCTGACCCCCGTGATTCCACACAATTTTTAGCATCCCAAGGACAAGATGGGGACCTCATCTATGTGTGATGACTTGCTAAATTCCGGCCCTTAATCCTGCCAGTTCCCAGTGTCCAAGGCTGTTGGAAGGGTGTGAGGGTGAGCGCTGCACTCGTAGCCTTCTAGAGACTGTCGTGTTGTGTATGGAGCCTGGGGAACATAACCATGTTTTGCTCATGTGATTTGGTCCTTTCTAAGATGGTCAGGTGCTCAAATTGAACCTCAGTGGAAACATGTCTAAGCTGCAGGTCTACAGACATGGGGGGCGGATTGCATACTGCGGCTCTTCTTGTCAGGGTTCGAAGCCTCAGGGACTCTGAGCAAGGGACAGTGGAGCAAGAGCCTGGAGTGAAGGGAGTTGGTGCGGATGCATTAGAAAGTGGAGAAAATCGGGGCGAGGGAGTGAGGGGAGAGAGAAAGAAGAGGAGAGAGGGAGAGAGACAGGGAAGGGGAGAAGGGAGGTGAGAGAGAGAATGAATGCTGAGGTTTGGTGAGGTGAGAATCCAGAACAGAGGCTACAAGAGAGGTTGAAGGAGAGAACGTGGAGACGGGGTGGGACGAGCCCCCAAGCTTGGAGAGCGGGGAGGACGCTAGAGGAGGAGCAGGACTTTGAGGTGTTGTTGGGAAGCCGGTGCTCCATGGCCGGGCACGGTGACCCGGACACATGGACAGCAGAGAGGCAGGACCGAAGTTGGGGTGCTGCTTTTTGCATATCTGAGAGGAGGGAGTCTCAGGCACTGTAAGCGTGGTGGGTGTGGGGAGGGTGTCCCAGCCTGTGTCTGGGTGTGTGTGTGTGGGGGGCGGTGGATGGTGCAGGGGGAGTGAGGGGCAGGAGATTCACTTCAATATAAGTTCCTCTGGCCCTCACATGTTTCTTCTATGGAAAAATTTGCCCCGAGTTCAATTCCTCAGCCCATCGGAGAGCCTGGCAAGCTACCCGTGACTTATCTGATAGGCCAAACACAGTAACAACAAGTCTCACAATGGAGATGTTACTGGGCCCACTCGAGCAAATCAATGAACAATGGGAGGACAGTGACAGGACAGAGACTTCTAGAAAGAGTAGAAGATGCAGCTCCCCGAGGCCTCACCCACTCATTCCAGTGACCTCTGTGTGCTTAGCAGAACATCGGGGCAGTTTCATTCACACTCTGATTGGCCACCCATTTCCCTCGGGTTTCACCTAATGCCCTTTCCCTGTTCTGGGGTCCCCCAGAATCCCTCCAATTCCCATGACCACCTGCTCTAGCCACTGAGTTTCTTTCTCTCTTTCTTTCTTTTTTCACTTTTTGGCTCACACCTGGCAATGCACACGAATTACTCCTCGCGGTGCTTAGGGGACCATACTAGATGCTGGGAATCAAATCGGGTCAGCTGTGTGCAAGGCAAATGCCCTACCTGCTGTGCTATCACTCCAGCCCCTAGCCATTGAGTTTCTTTGCGCCTGGCCAGATGCCATTCTCTGGAAACTGACGGCTGTGTTGGCTGTGTCGTTGGAGCCCCCCGCCCGGAAACCCTCGTTTTTCCTCGTGATTAGGCCGAGCTGATGGGATTTGGGGGACTGTCCTGTTTCTTAAAGCCCCCTCCCTGTGCCGACCTGTGCCGTGGGTTCAGAAGATTCCCAGGCAGCCCCTCCCCTTCGTCATCCAATCTATAAACAAAGGTGCTGGGCTTGGGCCTTGATAAACAGAGACTTCCTTCCCCTGCATGACGTCTTCGGGAGCCAGGAGGTAATGGGGGAGCCTATGCTTGCTCTTCCGGGCCCTCTTGCTGCTTCCCATGGTGGGGACCACAGGGGACCCCTCCACTCCAGCCGGCTGGCAGCTGAGCTTGACACATTTCCGGTGGCTCTGGGCCAGTCCAAGCCCTCACCCGAGGCTGTTCTGTTAAGGTCGTGGGGGGACCACTGGCCCCCATGTTCTGCTGACTCTCCTTGACTCACCCCACAAACTTCCCTGGCGTTAACCTCTCTCCAGAGGCTGATTCATGGCCGGTTTGGGCAGGACAGAGGTAGGCCAATGGCATTTTGGTCTGTGACTCAGAGCTCACCTTGAAGTTTGCCAGAACTCAAGCCCCCTGACCTTTCCTCAGGCCCCCATGGCTGGCCTCTGTCTTGCTCTCACTGCTTTGCTGAGGGACTCCGCGCAAACGCCATCCCTCCTTCTAGGACCCCATTGGAGCAGTGGTAGTTCCCAACCCTTTGGGGGTCGAGGGCAGGGGCTGCATGGGTTTCTGAGGGGGAAGTCCTCCATGTAGTGGAATTTTGGGTACCCAGGCCAGTCAGGACCCCCTCACACCCCATTGCTCTGCTCCACTGTTTCTCAACCTTTCCCTGAGCACAGCCCCCTTTCCACCTTCCTTCCTCTAACCTCCCTGCCTGGTTGACCCCCTTTTCACATACCATGCCCACCCCACCCCCCTTATGCAGTTTTCACTTGTGGTCCCCTTGGATTATCCTAAGGCTCATGGTGTGGTGGGGGGAGGTATGGCTCCCTGTTGAGAAATTCTGCTTTAAGCCACCGGTCTCCCCCAGCACCATCGCCTGTGAATTCTTTGTCTGATTCTGCTGACCAGGGTGGGCAGACTGTGTACAGGACCAGGGAGGAAGTATGTTCAATTTCCTGGGTCATGTGTGGTCTTTTGTTATAGCTATTCGGCTCTGCCTCTGGAGCTGGAATGCTGCCCTGCCAGTTGGAAGGGTATGGGCATGGCTCTCTTCCAATAAAACTTTATTTATAAAACACTTGGTGGGTCATTTCCAGTGGTCCTTATTATAGATCACAGGGGCCCTGAGGGTGGGGATCATGTCTGTCTTTGTCCACTGTTACCTTCCCAGCACTTTCTGTGCCTTCTGATTGGTTCCAAATTCCTTCACAGCACGTTGATCTGTTCTTTCTTGTAGCTGACCATGTTTTTGATTCTAAGAGATTTTTAAAATGAAATCCTAAAGTACTTGGGAGAAATGTTTCCTCTTCCTGAGAACTCCTGAAACCTCTAATCCACCTATATGAGATTGTGTGCAAAATTCCTCCCTGAGACCTTTTCCCTTTGAATGAAAACCATGGTTTTGATATCAATATCACTTTGACTCTACAAGACAGTAGCCATTTGGAGTAGTTTTAAATCTCTGTAGAGTTGCTGGGAGTGCATTCAGCACGCGTGAGGAACACCAGGGATCAAACTCATGACCTCATGCTCACACTGCAAGCACCTTTAGACACTGAGTCAACCCCTAGGGTCTTGGGATGAGTTTGAAAACTGAAGAGTTAGAGCCTTAGAGATTTCCCTGAAAGGCCCAATCCTGCCGGCACCTTGTGGGCATCCTAAATCTGGGTTGCTGTGTAGGGTGACAGGGAACATAGGGAAAATGTCTGGGAGAAAAAAGGCTCATAGGAATTTCAATGGCTAGATCAGGGTTGGCAAACTCTGGTCTATATGGTGAACTGTGTGACCAGCATGATTCTGTAGGAAGCTGATTGCTCAGATTTCCAGATTGCTCAGAAGGAAACCGTGAGTGGCAGCTGTGGCTGGTTCTGCTTTAAGCCTGAACCCCGAGACTGGATGTGAAACCAGTCTGGATACCAGGTGGCCCTTCTGCAAGGACATTTACTGGACAGACCAAAATCTGGCAGGAAATGAACCACACCAGCATGTCCACCATTGTGATAACTTGTCATCTCCATGCTCCCCAGCACAACCACCTTTCCCATCCCTAGAACATCATCACCAATACCAATACCATGACCATCTCCATAACCATCACCTTCACCATGACCATCACCTCCATCATGACCATCACCATGACAATCACCTCCATCATGACCATTACCATGAACATTACCACCACCATGACCATGACCATCACCTTCACTCACCATCACCACCACCAGGACCATGACCATCACCTCCACCATCATCACCAGGACCATGACCATCACCTCCATCAGCACTGTCACTATCACCATGACCATCACCTCCATCATCATTACCATCATCATCACCTCCATCATCTCCATCACTACCACCATGACTATCACCTCCACCATCACCACCTTCCCCTTCACCATCCTCGCCATCGCAATCCTCCCCACCCCAGCACCAGTCTGCATCATCATAACCACCATCTCCGCCATTTCCACCAGTGTCATCCCCACCACCAGAACTGCCGGTCCTTCACCAGCATCCCCATGACCACCCCATTAGCATCCCTACCACCATTCTCTTCAGCCACGCCAATCTCCCCATCAGACATACTACAGCCACGTCCCCTTTCACACCACCTCTTGCCCCTGCATTGTCACAGCCATGGCTCCTTCCTCCTTTGTCATTGCTGGAGTCCCACTCCACTAGCACAGCTGCCACTCCCCTCTCTGCCCCCTCCTGCCACCTCCCTCTTGATGACCACCCACTGTTCCCATCACCACCCTACCTGTCTCTGTCTTTCTCATCCCCCCAGGCCCGGCTCTTACCTTGCCCACGTAATGGGGCAGGGAGGAGTTCTTCTCTTCGTCAATGTGCATCTGGTTCCAAATCCAATCTCGCTTCTGGCGCCGGTGGATGGGCTCCAGGCTGGGGGTGTCCAGATTGGTGGAGCTGCCCCCTGCTGTAACTGCAGCCAGCAAGCTCAGGCAGGCGCCCCCTGCCATGAGCAGCAGGAGGAGCAACTGCATCTTCTGGGAGGCACAGATCTGGGGAGAGAGGAGTGGCCCCGTTAGGGCTGGGGGCTCACTGTGTGGGGGTCAGAGCCACCCTCAGGGATGTGAGCACTCTTTTCTGTTCCCTCTGCCCCTGAGTCTTCATGGGGCCCACAGAGCCCGACCCTGACCCATCCTAGGGCATGCCAATCTGAGCAGGAGAATATGGGCCTAGAAATGATGCCTGGAAAGGAGGGGCACCTGTGAGAGGGTGGCACCAGGCACAGGTGACAGAGGAGTCTGGAGGGTGAGTGGAGGGCTTCCTGGAGAATGGGGTGATATTGCTACAGCTCTCGAAGCCCTTTGCAATGGCCACCCTGGTAACTCTCACTTGGCATATGAAGAAACTGAGGGACAGAGAAGTTGTATTCAAGAGGGCACAAATTAGGGAAATGAGGGTAGAGCCTAGAAAACTGACCTCAACAACCAGTACTTGTTTATTTTATTTGAAGGGATTTGGACCAATTTGGTGAAGCTCAGGGGCAAGTCCTGATTCCCTCAAGAGCGACTCTGGCAGTGCCCAGGGGAACATATGTGATGCTGGGGATCAAATCAGGATCAGCAGCGGTCGAGGCAAGTGCCCTGACCCCTGCACATCTCTCTTAATAAACAACCAACATTTTATCAAGATGCTGCATTTTGTGGGATTTGTCTTGGGGCCACACCACCCAGCAGTGCTCAGGGCTGACTCCTGGCTCTGTGCTCAGAGATCACTCCTGGGGTGCTGGGGATCGACAGCCAACACTTATGGAGCCCTGACTGGTTTCTGGACACATGTTGCATGTATTATCCCATTCAGCCCTGCAGGCCGCCCTCGAGGTGGGTAAACCCCAAGCTGAGGAGAGACCCAGCACACTGAGAGACGTTTCAAGGGGCCCGAGAATGCACAGCAGAGACGGGACAGCACCAGGTTTGGCCTCAAAGTGTCTGTTCTCTGCTTTGGCTTGTCCTGGCAGCTGTTGGGGTAGGACTGAAGCTTCTGGGAACAAACATGTTCCCTGCATAGTCCCGCTTGTCCCCCAACACCCCAATCAGCCAGTGCCTGAGATGCCCCCAGAAGGCTCTGAGGGAACACCAGGGCCCACCCCTCCCACCCTAAACTCACTGAGAGGGGGCGATTTAGACACTACCCAAGAGTGGGAAGGCAGAGTAGTGTGTGTGTGTGTCTGTGTGCGTGTGTGTGTAGAGATTGTGTTCACAGGGCTGACCTTGGGGCATGATGGAAATTCAAGGAACTTGGTTTCAAGGTTGTGGAGAAGTTCAAGATGGCAAGAGAAAACCCTGGGCGATTGCCGGGGCCTTTGCTCATGGTAGGGGGCACCTCGGTGGGGCCCAGGACTGGGGGCAGCCAGAGAAGGGGGCCTGGTCCACCCTCGGTTTCGGAGAGAAGGTTGCTTCCTTCTATCTCTGGCTGGGCCCACTCAGCCCAGACTCCATGCACCCCCAGCCAGGCAGGGTCCCGGGACACTGACCTGTGGCTTCTGGAATCTTCCGTGGGAAGCAGGAGGGTGGGGAGCAGTGGACGCCGGGCCTCTGCCTGGAGGACAGGGCCCAGCAGATGTGGGGTGGGGAGATCCCTCCCAGCCTTCCCCTCCTGGCCCGGGGTGGGGGTGCACGGGGGCTGGACTGGGCCCTTCCCGGGTGGTTTTTACACTCAAGTAACATTTCCTCAGAGACTCTGGCGCCAGGGCTGGTGCAGGAGGAAGTGGAGCCCCGGGTTAAGGTGGATCAGAGCACTGGAGCAGGCCGAGGGTGTTGGGGCCCCTTGGGGAGGCCTGGCTTTCAGGGCCTCAGTCCTGAGGGAGGAGATGAGGGCCTGGTGCCCGTGAGGTGGGATGTGGACCAGGCAGCCATTCCAGCGGGAGGAAGAGTGGGAAGGCGGTGAACAAAGGCGAGGTGGGGGGGTTGGTTGGGGGGATGGATCGCTGCCAGGAAGCAGCCCGGCGCGGGGAGGCGGCCGTCGTGACCCCTGCCCCAGCCTCACTGGGCTCAGGCCTGCAGGCGCGTTTCCTTCTTGCTTAGGAAGGAACTGCTGCAAATCTTGCTGCTTGTTCCCTTCCTCTGGGGAGGAGGGAACTCCAGAATGAAAGAGTAAAATAGGCGGAAGTGAAACCGAGGGTCTGGGAGCGAGAGTTCTTGGGAGAGCAAGCTCGCAGCTGAGCAGAATCGCAGGCTCCACTCCGAGCTGGGTGCCAGGGCTCCAGTGGAGGGGACGAACCGGAGATGCCCCTGGGAGCGTCAGGCAGAGAAGGATGGGAGGACAAACTTCAGCTGGTGATCAGAGCCCTCAGGGAATCACCAGGGGAGGTGGCAAGGTGTATGTGTGTGGGGGGTGTCTCAGAGAGGTAAGGCTAGAACCAACATGGTAGGGATAGTCAGAGGCTTCTGGGTCGAAGGGACCAGCATGTACAAAGGTCCTGGGGTAGAGAGAGTGAGAGTGAATGTGTTTGAAGCACTAAAAGCAGAGCCCTGAGTCAGAAATGAGCAGCAGGGGGCTGGGGACAGGTCAGAGTGGTGGGTTGAATGTGGCCCCCAAAGATGTCCAGATCCTCCCCCCCTGGACCCAAGTATCTTCCCCTCCCAGGACGAAAGGACCTTCCCTCTAGGAGTTCAAGTGGGAAGGTGGTCCTAGCAACGTGGGTGGCCTAGTGTAAAAGTTGAGGCAGGATAGTCAGAACCAGAAACAAAGAAGCTATGTCAGTGCAAATGGAAGTTGGTGAGTGGCCAGGCCATAGCCAAGGCCCCCAGGCGCCCCTGGCAGCTGGTAAAGGCAGGAGATGGGTTCTACTAGGAGGACGCAGCCCTGAGCTCAGCCCCGGCAGTACCATCAGACTCCGACTCCCAGCCTTGGCCATCAAATGAAAGGAAATGTGTGCTTTCTCCAGATGCTGACGGTCTGGATGGGGTGTGTAGGGTCATGAGGGGTGGCCTGGAGAGAACTTTACTCCAAGCAGGAGGGAGGTGAGGCAGCAGACGAGCAGATGGGGAGTGGAAGTGGGAGATCCCAGGGAGCAGTGATGGGGGCTCAGGTGGACTGGACAGGAGGCTGGGCCCGGGTCTGTGGCGAGCAGTTTGCTGGTGTCTGTAATGAAGGGACAAGGGCTGGCAAGGAATCGAGGGTGGCTCAACATTAGGGGGCAGCTGGGTCCTTACTGAGATCCAGACCATGGGGGTGAGCACCTTGGCGGGGGAGAGAGGAAACCAGGAGTTCTGATTGGGCCTCATTAAGTGGCAGTGGCCGCCAAGTGTGTCCTGCTGGATGCCCTGATGGGCCCAGCCCCCCACCCCAGCCCGGTGCCTGGCTGTGGACTGAGCCCTAACTCTGGCTCCCGTTGATCTGGTTGAGGAAAGTTCCAGAGGGAGCTCTGGGAAGGTGGACAAGAACAGGGGCACATCCTTCTCCTCCTCTGCCCTCTGCTGCCTCTTTCCTTCACGATGACTCCCAATGTGTGGCTCTCCGCAGCTCTGGAAGCCCTGTCCATTCATGGCTGATCCCCGCACCCCTCATTGATGATCCCGCATCCCCCACTGCTGCCTCCAACACCCCCTATTGCTGCTCCCTGCATTCCGTGTTCTGATCCCCTTGTCCCCATGCTGATCCCCGTGTCCCCACTGCTGCCTCACATCCCCATTGCTCATCCCTGTGTCCCCCACTACTGATCCCCATGTCCCCCATTGCTGCTCCTGCCATTCCGAGCTCACAGCTCCATCAAAACCCCATTAGGAAGCCTTTGAAGCCGGAGCCCCCCAGTTCCCATGGGAGCCATCAGATCCCACTTTCCTGCTGCTAGGGCTGCCTGCAGGCAGAGGACCCCAGGCTGACCGCAGCCCCCTGAAGAACAGATGAACCACCTGGACTGAATTGGGGCCTGGAGGGCTCCTGGCTGACCCCACTGGCAGAGGCAAAGTTTCCGAATGGGCAGGAATCTCCTCGGATGCTTCCTCTGACTCTTTCTTACCTGGCAGGAGGTGGGGTAAGAAATGGACTGGACACCCCCTCCGGGGTGCCACTGGTCGCATTTAAACCTCACAGCCTGGGGAAGGTAGTTCAGGGGGTAGGGAACTTGCCTTGTGCCTTGTCAATCTGGCACCCCGTATGGTCTCCCGAGCACCACCAGAGTCATCCCGGAGTAAGCCCTGAGCAGAACTGGGTGTGGCCCCCAAACAAGGACAACAAAAATTCAGATTGAACCTTGTGGGCTGCAAGGGTGGGGCTGCTAACCTGTTTTGCAGGCATAGTTCAGAGAGGGACAGAGAGTATCTCAGGCCACACAGCAGCAAGGGGTGAGCTGGGTTTGGACTTTGGTACTTTTTACCTCTGAGAGTGCCTCCTGCATTTCACCTAGACACATCGGTGGTGTGTGTGTGTGTGTGTGTGTGTGTGTGTGTGTGTGTGTGTGTGTGTGTTGTGTGTGTGTGTGAGAGAGAGACACACACACATATACAGAGACAGAGAGACAGAGACAGAGAGAGACAGAGAGACAAAGAGACCGAGACAGAGAGAATGACCTATCCTCCAACTGGCTGTTGATAGAGTTACAAGTCATCATGCTAACCTCTGGCTGGAGGGACTGTCCCCAGGAGGTCAGGTGCTATGACTGTCACTCCCTGCTGGGTCTGAATGTTGCCCCAGCAGTGCCATGAGCACTCACAGGCAGAGTGACCCCTGCCCTGGCCCGTGTCCCAGCCCTGGCCTTCCTAGAGTTCCTTCCAGGGCTCAAGGTGAGCTGCTCCACAGCCGTGATGGAGCCCCAGGTCTCCTGGCCTGCGGTGTGGGTGAGGCCGGGCTGCACCCTGCAGAGAGGTGCCCTTTGCCCTGATGGAAGCACCACTTCTACTACAGCTGGGCTTCCCTGGATGGGTCTTGGGGTTGGAGCTCGCTCTGAGGGTCCTGTGCCTCCCTGTGTCCCCGTGCCTCTCCTGTTCCTGGGGCAGAATCTTCCCAACTCTGTGCTTCTGCCTCAGAGGGAGGGCTGAGGGGTGAGGGACGCCTGGGAGGCGCCCAGAGGCAGCCTGGCCGGAACTCTGTCCAGGCCTGTATATCAGGGTTCAGGCCCGGGTCCAGTGGGGGGCGGGGATGGGGAGTCCGAAGGTCCAGGCTACACCCATAACCTATTTGGGCCATATAGACTTGCACTCACAAATGCACACACAGCCCTGACCCCAGCATTAGCCCAGCCAGCTCCTGAAGAGCCTCTGCTCTGGACTGGGGCATGCCCCGTCCCCTACCAGCACACAGGTCCAGCAGCAGAGGGTGGAGGGGTGCTCAGAGGGTAGAGGCCCAGAGAGGAGGGACGTTGTGTCCCAGCCCGGCCTCAGACAGGCTCTGGCTTGGTCAGGGGCCAGCGGGAGGAGAGGCCCAGTGCAGGCTGCGGCGCCAGCTCCCTATGTGGGCGGCCGCCCTCCCTTCCACCTTGACCCTCAGTCTAGAACAGAGGTCAGAGCTAACGATGCCTCAGCATCTCCTGGGATCCCCAAATCACCTGCCTGAACCCCCCAGCATTGCTCTCCGGGCCCTGGCAGCCACTAGCATGGGAACATACAGGGGTGAGGCTGGGGGCGGGGAGGGGGCTGTGCTGGGGTGGGGAGATTCCCCCTTGACCCGCAGCTCATTTGACACCTCCCCTCTCCCTCTCCTCAGGCACATGATTCCTCCTCTTGGGGTTCTGCCTGCAGCTCCCTGCCCCCTTAGAGCTCCACCTCCTGCCAGCTGGGGTCTCCTGAGCCAGGGCCACTCCCTGTTCCTTAGATGTTTTTGGAGCACTCAGGGCCCCTCCTACCTCTAGGATTCTCCATATCCTTGGCCTGAATGTGCTTCCTTGCTGTCTGCCCTGGGGGGGGGGGGCGCTCCAGTTCTTTCTGCAGCCCAGAGCACATCCATCCCTCCATGCTGGCCAGAGCATCCCTGACCCTGAAGGTTCTGGAACCAGCCCATCTCCCAAGGTTCAGGACTTTCCTAAGGTACCAGCATGTCCACTGCAGCCTGTCACACTGCTTGGCCCCTCAATCTGGGCTCGTTCCCATTTCCCAACCCCCCCCCCCCACACACGCACATGCCCATAATTAAACTCAGACCTGCATGATAGCAACTTGGGGGCCAGAAGCAGTTGTGGCATGGGTACAACTCAAAGAAGTTCTTCCATGTCCCCAGAATACTTCCGATGCCTGTCCTATGGCCAGGCACACTGACATAAGGATTCTCATCCTGCAATGACTCTTATCCTTCTTGTTTTTCAATTTGGCTTTTTTGGTCACACTGGGTGATGCTTGGAGTTACTCCCTGCTCTGCATTCAGTAATTACTCCTGGTGGTGCTTGAGGACCATTTGGGATGCTTGGGATAGAACCCGGGCTGGCTGCGTGCAAGGCAAACACCGCTGTACTACGCTGTGCCTTCCATGCTCATCTTTCTTAGGGGTCCCCAGTGAACACACACGGGGAGCCATGCAGGAGGCTTCCTGAGGGACGACTGGCAAACAGACCTCATGGATTGCCACTCCATGCAGACATCACCAATCTATCACAGCTCGTTCCCACTGAGCCAG